TGGTGGGGTGAAGCCCCGACAAACCCTTCTCCCGCTGCTCTTTCTTGGGGTGCCAGACTCAAAGCAGCCTTTCTAGAACATTCTGTACCCACCCCAAAACCCGCTTTCCACCAGCAAGTGCTGAGACAGGCTGCTTAGACCTGGTCCCCCTGACAGAGCCCGGCTGCCTGCTGCTGGTCCCGGGGGACACCCCTGCCCACCCTGGAGCCCCCCTTCTGCCTTCTCTTGAGATGAGCCCACTTCCCTGTGCAGGGGCCCTGGGGGAGAGGTCATGCAGACCGCCCCCCCAAACACACACAGGAGGTCTCAGCTGTTTCCTCCTGCCCCGTGGGCCCCATCTGTCACCCCAGGCGCAGATGGCCAGGCCAGAGCGGCGGGCGGGCGGCGGGCTCCCGTCCAGGGCAGCCTCTGCATGCGGCCACCCACGTGGCTGGCCCCGTCCCATCCGCTTGTCTGCAGGTGAGGCCCTGCGTCTGGACGTCCGCCCTGTGCAACCTGTCCTGTCCCCTGTGTCCTGTGGCAGAGGCAGGACCCTAGCTCAGACCCGGCATACACACTGTCCCTCACTGCCCTTGACCCGGTCACTTACAGGGCCAAGTGAGTTAAGGGCAGCTGCCCGCGCTCTTCCCCGGCCCTCACTCCTTGTGGCCGGCCATGCTGGGGCCCTCAAGGAACACTGGCCTTGCCGGGAGCAGAGCCGGGGTGGGGGCCAGGGCCAGGTCTGGGATAGGGTGACTGGGTCACCCTTTGGGGGAGGCTGATCCCCCCCTCCCCCGGTCAGCAGCCGCATCCTCAACTCCCCACTCACTCTGGAGGTGGCCGCCTGCCTCGGGCCTGGCCTGGCCTGGGCAGGTGTGTGGGGGATGACCCCTGAAGCCCCCACGAGGAATGGGCCCAGAGTGGGAGCACGGGCAGCCAGGATCTGAGCCGGCTCTGTGGGCTGGGCTTGTCCGGGTAGGGGAGGAGGGTGACCTTAAGTCTAGGTGGCCCTGCTCCCTGAGAAACTCCTGGGGGCGTCTCCACACCCTCCTCAGGGTCAGGCAGGGCAGGGCTGGGCCGGGGTCATGGAGGGAGGACAGACCCTCCCTCCTGGGTTGGGCTGGAGACCCCAGTGCAGGTTTGGGGCATCCAGGGTCACAACCTGTCCCACCCTCTGCTCCCTCCTGCACCCGGGTGGGTCAACAGGCCCAGAGCAGCACCCCCCCCCCAGCCTGTACCCCTCAGGGATCCCTGTGGCTCTCGCAGCTCATGGAGGGCTGAGGGTGCTGCCCCCCACCCCCACCTCCATGTCCAGTGGCAAGCGGGACGTGGGAGCTCAGCTCTGGGACCCGACAGCCGTGAGTCTGAATCCTAAACCGCCCCCTCAGCATCCCAGGAACCAGTGCAGTAGACCCCTCCCTGGTCACTGTCCACCACAAGCTCTGTTCGTGACATCCATGCTTGGGGCGCCCCTTGACCTTTCTGCCCCTGGTCCCCCGCGATCATCCCCTTCCTAAGGCGCTCAGGGTCCCAGGGACCTGAGCTTTGTGGGACTTGGGGGCCATGACACGGTGGTCCAGCTGTGACTGCCCAGGACAGGGGTGGTCCAGCCCAAAGACTGCATGGAGTCCCAAGGGGTCGGAGCCTGGTTCCAAATCGCTGTGCTGAAACAGACCAGCCAGCAGGACCTGGGAGGTGGGTCACACACTTGCCCTCCACTGCCCAGGTGCATAGGGGCGGCCAGCCTGTCCCCAGAGAGCGGAAGGGGGGACCCAGGCCCAAGGGCAGCTGTCAGGGAGAGGCTTGCCCCCATCCTGCAGGGACACCCCCCACCTGCCACCAGCCTCCTTCTGGGGGCCATGCTCACGACCTCGGGCTCCCACACCCGGGAGAGGTGCCTCCCAGCCATGGTGCCGGGCCCTGGGCTGGTGGCCTCACAGTGCTCAGAGAGTCCCACGTGCTGGGAACCATGGGGATGCCAAGAGGGGCAGATCCCAGGGTCCCCCCACCTCCCGTGCCCCTGCTGGGCGCCTGCTGTCTGCACCCAACTTTCCGGGGTCTAGGCGGGGAACTTCCGTGTTCTCACCCCCTCGTTGGCGAATGGCAATCTCCTCACAAGTACTTCTTCCAGATCCTGGGCGTCCCCCCAAGGCCGCCCAGATGGCCCCTCCCCCGTCACTCACCTGTCCTAGTTCAGCAGCAAAAGGCAGAGGCGGCCAGTCCGGCCCTCCCCCACCTCAGCTCCTCAGGGCAGGAAAAGGGCGGAGCAGGGAAGGGTGTGGACTGAGGCTTTGGGGTTGGGGGGTTGGGGCTCCCTTCCCCCACTCTGATTGCTCCACTAGCCCAGGGACTTCCTGGGAGGCAGGAGGCGGCGGCTCACAAACCGACTGAATCCAGTTCCCACCCAGAGGGAGCCCTAAGGCCTGTCAGCTGGGGGGTGGGGATGCAGGATCACCCACTGAGGAGAGGGGAGCCCCCTCTCTGCTTCGCTGGGGTGCACTGGGGGGGTGGGACACAGAATCCTGTGCTTCCAGACCCCCAGGGCTCTGTGTTTGCTGCCCCCTGCAAACCAGCCCAGGCTCCAGCCCTTTCCTACCCACTGCCGATGAGCTGACCAGGGCACCCCCCCAAGAATGCCTGCACTGAAGCTCCTGCCTCCGTGGGCTGGGCTGGGGGCGGGCCAGGCCTTACAGAGGGAGTCAAGAGGGTGTGATGGGCAGGAGGGGACCTGGGGGGGGGGGCGCGGGGGACACAGCAGAGGCCACAGTGGGCACATGGAGGAGAGCGCTCTGTCCAGAGATCAGCACCCCAACAACTCAACAACTCATGTGGCGTCCCCAGGTGTGTCCCAGCAGGGGGGCAAACACCTGTCCGTGTTCAATGCTGGTTTGTGTTGAATTTAGGGTCTCTTTGATCCAATCACCAGGAGTTACAAAGTTATTCATGACTGAGTTTCAGGGGTATACAAAGTTGCGATACCACCCGCGTCCCCCCCCTCAGCCCGCCTGGAGGGCTGCTTGCTTTCCCTTGATTGCTCTCAGGCACTGAGGTTTGCAACATTGTCACTGAGAGGGCACTCTGCCCTCAGCACCCAGTCCTGTTCCAGGACGGCCACGTCCCTGCATCCGGGCAGCTGTGGGTGTGGGTCCTTCCCTGACCCGTTCCCACGGAGGAGTACTGTTTCTGCTGCTCCTCCTTCCTCCTGCTTTGGGGCCCCGTTCTTCAGCCCTCCTGGGTTTCTTTCCATCGCCCGGTCTGACTCATTTCTCTCCGCAATGGCCTCTCCAGACCCACCCTCAGAGCATCAAAATGCCTGAGTTTTTTGTTTATTATTATTTTTTTCGGTATCCCAGTACAGAGCTGCGGGGTCCCGTCTGCTCGAGGACACCTGGGCTGTTTCCAGGCTCTGGCTCTCGTGCATAGTGTTGCAGGCGCCTTTTCCACGTTGCGTATTTGCCCCCTTGGGGTACGCTGCCTCAGGTGGGGGCTCCGTTCTTCCCACCGCCCACCTCTAGAACCTGCAGTCGTCACAGACCCGACGGCAGACCCTGTCAGCGATGCTCGCTATTCACCGCAGTGCCCTGCCCCCTCTGACCGTGTGGCCGCTGCGTGTGGGCGTATTTCAGCACACGCGTGTTTCTGCGACTCCTCCGTGTGGCAGCCGGGCTGGAATGTCACTCCCTGTCAGCTGTCCAGATGGGCCATGCTGTCCTGATACTTTATTTCACTGTGGCTCGGGGCCCACTCGTGGCTCTGTGCTCCAGGACTCCTGGTGGGCTCGGGGCAATGGGGGGGGGGGTGTGGGGGAGGGGGGTGGACTACACGGAGTGCTAAGGATTATTATACCCAGCTGGCGGCATCTGGCCCCCTATTTTTTTTTAAAAAAAAATCATTTCTAGAAATGAGAGTGAGGAGAGAGAAAGGAAGGAAACTCGTAAAGCAAGCAGTGACATGTCCCAGTTTGGAACTCCTGGGAGAAGCTGTGTGTGTGTGTGTGTGTGTGTGTGTGTGTGTGTGTGTGTGTCCATCCGTATCTGTCTGTACATCCATCCATCACTGTCTTTCCCTTCCTGAGATGTGGGGAGTCAGCCCCCTAGACCCTGCCCTGTGGCTCTGTCCCTCTTGGGGCCCCTGTTGCAGTGGCCGCTATAGCCAGGGCTCCTGCTGTCCCAGCTATTCGTGGCACTGTCCCCGCCGGACAGCCTCCCGGGGCTTCGCCTGCTTTACTGCCGTGTCTGTGTCTGAGAGCGTCCGTGTGTCTGCAGCACCCCCCATCCCTAAAGCCTCCAGAAATCCACCTTCAGCAGTGACGTGCTCAGAGAAACCAGGCCAGGTGACCTCCTGGCTCAGCCGACTGTCCCATGTGGCTCGTCCACTCCTGGTGCACTGGGAAGCCGCTGTCCCGGCAAGACGCCTGGGCTTCTCTGGGTGGCCACCAGAAGCCGCTCGGAGCCGGAGGCCTTCTGGTCAGCCAGCATGAGCCCAGCGCCTCAGCCTGGGGGCTGTGTCCAGTCCTGATGCCAGGCCCGAGGGAGCCCCTGGCCTCACCCAAGGGTGAAGGGCCGCATGTGATAAGCTCCACCTTCAGACCCGCAAGCTCATTTGAGTTCCCTGCGGTGGTCCCCCTCCACCGCCCACAGAGACGCCTTCTGTGATGGTGGGACCCCGTCCAGCCCCAACTGCCTTGTGCCTGGGCACCGAGGGTCACCCCTACCTGCTTCCGTCCAGAGAGTGTCCACAGCTGCTTTCCTGGCGAGAAACGCAGTTCTGACAGGCCCAGTCCGAGGGCAGAGGGGGACGTGCACCCCCACTGTCCCCGGGGGAGGGGGGATTCCTCCCGTGGTCTCGGGTTCACTCCCGTGGGCTGGTTTCCGCGGGTCCCATCAGTCACTTGGACAGCATGGCGCAGGTTGTGCGCATGGGGGTGCCCACGCAGGGCAGGAGGGCTGGGGGCAGTAGCCTCGGGATGGACGCAGGGAGAGGACAGGCAGGCAGGGGGGCAGCGGCCACCCCCAGGCCGTGCGGGGCTACTTCTGGGCAGCCAGAGCGGAGAGGGACTGGTTGAGCTTGACCATGGCGATGACCAACAGGCCGCCCGTGAGCAGGCAGCTGGGCCAGAGCAGCGCCTCCAGCAGGGCCTGGGGCCCGTAGCGCCGCCGGTACAGCACCCCGCGGGGGTCCCCGCTGCCGTTGGGCGCCGAGAAGCAGTAGAAGGCCTGGTGCTCCCGGAACCGCCGCTGCGCCACCTCCACCTCCTCCCGCGCTGCCCGGTAGCTGTCCCGGCTGTGGGGGATGTAGGAGCACTGGGGGGGGGGCAGGAGAGTGTCGGGGCGGCAGGGAGCACCGCCCACCCGCACCCGGGGCACCCACCCTGCTAGCCCAGAGACCCCGTCACTCACCTGCAAACAGCTAGTCTCCCCCGAGACACACACCGACACATACGCTGACACACGTGCCGACACACGTGCCGACACACGTGCCGACACACGTGCCGACACACGTGCCAACACACGTGCCAACACACGTGCCAACACACGTGCCAACACACGTGCCAACACACGTGCCAACACACAGGCGCAGACACACACACAGACACACACACAGACACACACACAGACATACACACAGACACACACAGACACACTCGCAGTACGGCACACGCAAGTACAGGCACACTCACAGAGATACCCACAGAGGCACACACAGACACACACACAGGCACAGAGACAGACACACACACACAGGCACAGAGACAGACACACACACACAGGCACAGAGACAGACACACACACACAGGCACAGAGACAGACACACACACACAGGCACAGAGACAGACACACACACAGGCACAGAGACAGACACACACACAGGCACAGAGACAGACACAAACAGACACACAGGCACACACCAAGGCAGAGGTACAGAGGCAGAGGCACACACACACAGGCACACACAGGCATAGAGACAAACGCACACATAGAGACAGACACACAGGCACACACAGAGGCACAGACACACACACACACACACACACACACACACACACACCCTATGCTATTCTAGGAGAACTGCTCCTGTCCTAGGCCCCCCGTGAGTGTCGTGCGCGCAAGGTGCAGGCTGCGGTCATGGTTCCCAGGGCCTCTAGAGGCTTCCCAGCATCCCAGGAGCAGACAGGCTGGCGGATCTGGCCCGGATGCTGCCAGGGTGTCCGGAGACAGGCGGGCCCCTCGGGCGCGTCCAGCCCCCACAGTATAGTCCACCTAGCAGCCGCCCACCAGAGGGACGCTCCGGGGGCCCCCGCGGTGACACCTGCCAGTCTGCCCAGCCCAGAGCCTCTTGGTGGGGGTCACAGGGGTCCCGCGGTCCCTGCCCTGGCCCCTTGGGTCCCGACACAGTTTGCAGAAAGGAGCGACCCCCCCCCTCATGCCCACGTGCCCCCGGCCCAAGCACGAGCTCAGGGCCCGGCCAGCCGGGGTGTCCACCTGTGCCCAGCTCCGGCCCAGGCGCTGGCTGCAGGATCCCGCCCATACCTGATCGTTCTGGTCCAGCGTATCCTCCATGTGGTACAGCATGGCCCACTCGCCTGCCACTGACACGTTCACCCACAGGCACGGGTACCGGGGCACCATCTTGCCCTGCAGCTCCTCCTGGTCGTGGATGTGGGTCTCGATCAGGTGACACGTGGATTTCAGGGTCCACACGCTGGGGGGTCACACACACACACGGACACTCAGGCCCGGGTCACCCGGGGCTCCGGTGGAATGCGGCAGAGCCCAGACCGGGCCTCAACGTCCCTTCAGCAGCCACCACCAAAGGGCATGACCAACCCCCGAGCCCCAGAACATGGAGCTGGCCTGTCCTCCACGCTGGTCACCCGAAACATAGGGTGGGGGGTGCAAGTCAGAGGACCCCCAGGACGTGTGAACCAGAATTCTTGGGGTGGGGAAGCTCAGGCTTAGCATGATTTGGTTTGATTTATTTTGAGAAATTTGGAGCCATATCCAGCGATGTTCAGGGCTGGCTTCTGGCCCTGTGCTCAGGGCTGACTCCCGGTTCTGTGCTCAGGGATGGCTCCTGGCGGTGCTCAGGGATGACTCCTGACCCTGTGCTCAGGGATCACTCCTGCTCTGTGCTCAGAGCTGACTCCTGGCAGTGCTCAGGGGACCCTAAGGGAGCTGGGGGTTGAACGGCGGTTGCCCACATGGAAAGCAAATTGCCAAGGCCCCGCAGGCAGTGGTGGCCCATGTCCTCACCCGTAGTGACCAGGGGGAGCCCAGAAGTGAGGGTCAGAGACGCAGCCGGGCACACCCGGGGGCCAGGACGGGACAGCTGAGACTTCGGGCAAGGCCTAGATGGAAGCAGCTGTGGTGGGGGAGTAGGTGTCCGTCCCCTCTCATGCTGACCCTGGACCCAAGTGCCCCAGCGCCCGGGCACTGCAGGGACGGGCCTCCTGCACCTCCCACTGAGCCACCCAGCCCGGGCCCCGGGGGTGCAGGCCGGTACCTTCGGAGATGGAGGGGCAGCAGGGTGGTGCCCAGCACGTAGTAGGTGATGGCCGCGCTCACCACCATGGCCACACCCAGGCAGAGTGCCCGCGTCTCGCCACGCTTCTGCGCTGTCACCAGTTTCTTCCCCATGTCCCCGGGGGCCTGCGGTCATGTCTGGGGGGGGGGCGGTCACAGAGGCGAAGGGCCGTGAGGGGTGGGGTGGCAGGGGGTGGCACCTGTCCCCCTGACTTGGCCCTTGGTGAGTGTCACCCTGGCGTGAGTGTCAGTGAGAGGGCACGCTGGACTGTCCACTCTCACTGACGGGGAGCAGGTGGAGGAAGGAGGGGACAGGACTTCGATTCTGGGTGGCCTCCCAGGCGGTGGCGTCCACCCCCGGCCGGCCCCACCGCTTCCCCATGCCTCTTAGCTGAGGCCTCACCAAGGAACCCCCAAAGGTGCTCAGCGGACGTGTCCAGTCCAGGGACCGAGCTGCGCTTTCCCAGTGTCCCCAGGGGCCAGCCCAGGACTTGTCAGGGGCCCAGCTGGCCAGAGCCCTGAGCCCCCGCGGGCCCCATCCCAAGGCCCAGCCAGCACCCCCAGGGGGAGCCAAGCTCCAGCCCCGGCCCCGCCCGCCCAGGCCGTCCCCTGCCCTGTCCACCCCCCCGCCCCCGCCCAGCCTCCTTGGCCCCCACTGCCCCCACCAGAGGCCTCCAGTCACGGTACTCACAGTCTCCCCGCACCCTGTGCTCCAGCCGCTGGACACTCCCTGCCCGGCCCAAGCCCACCCAAAGAGGCGGCCACAGGAAGTGGAGCGAGCCCAGTACCCGGCAGCCTCATGCCCAAACATGGGCACGTCTGTGTCCCCGGCCGGCACGGCCGCGGGGGGCGGGAGGCCCCCCCCCCACCTGCAGTGTGTGGCCAGTCACCCCAGGAAAGCTGGCGGCCACCCGAGAGGACACCCAGAGGCACCTCTCTCCCTTTCTCTCCCCTTCTCTCTTCCTCTCTCCCTCTCTCCTTCTCTCCCTCTCTCTCTCTCTCTCTTCTCTCCCTCCTCTCTCTCCTCTCTCTCTCTCCCTCTCTCCTCTCTTCTCTCCCTTTCTCTCTCCCTCTCTTTCTCCTCTCTCTCTCTCTCTCTCTCTCTCTCTCTCTCTCTCTCTCTCCCTCTCTCCTCTTTCTCTCTCTCTCAATCTCTCCCTCCCTCTCTCCACTGCCCACCCGCCCAAGCAGGGCTGGGCGGCGGCTTCCCGGGCTGACTACGGGCCAGGGGAGGAGTTGCCGGCCAGGCTGGGCCGTTTATCCGCCCCGGGCAGCTGGCCAGGCCCCGCGGCCAAGCCCGCACGCAGGGGCATTTGGGCTGCGTGACCCTCGCAGGCCCCAGGGCCTCTCTGGCGCTCGTGGGGTCCGAGGTGCTCCTCATTCCCAGCCCGGCCATACTCAGGGTGGGGGGAACCCGGGACGGCCCCCCTCCTGGCTGCTTCAGGGGGCTGGGCTCAGGGGCTCCCAGCAGACTGTCAGCGCCGCCCTCCAAGGCCAGGGGGCAGCGGGCAGCCCTCGCCCTCACCTCTCCAGGCCCTGTGTCTGAGGGTCCATCCTGCGCCGATGTGGAGGCTGCAAGCAGGGCCCGTGGGGGTCTCGAGGATGGCCGGGCCCTGGGCGCCCTTTCCTGGGCATGGGCTGTGGTCACTTGCGTTCGGCAGCTGCAGTGTGGACAGACGGTGTCCAGGCTCTGGCCACTGGCCACTTGGCACCACCTCCCTGTGGCCTCCACAGACACCCAGTAGTGATATTGGGGGTCAGGCGGGGTGGCCAGAGGCTCCCCCAGGAGGGTGGTGGACAGGGGCCCTGCCCGGGGCAGTCCCTGGGCCTCCACTTAGGGAATGTCAGAGGCCAGTTCTGGGGGGCCCGGGATCACCCAGTACCCCTCTGTGCATCCATGGCCTGTCCCTGGGCCCCAATGCCCTCCTTGGACAGACAGGGATGCCTGCTCCTCAGTGGGGTCCAAGCCGAGGGGTCAGTGTCCAGGAGCGTGCCCCAAGGCAGGGAGGGAGCACAGACCCACTTGGGACACCCATGTGGACCCACATCACCCCGTGTGCCCTGCCCACCCCCATGCACCCCTGAACCTGAACCCTGAGCAATCCCCCGAAGGCCTGTGAGCCCGGCCCCTCCCCTGTACACACGCAGCGGGCAAGACCCCCCTCACAGTGCTCCTTCCCAGGGTCAAGCACCCGTGTGTGTCCCTGAAATGAAGCGTGGCCCAGCCCCCCACCCTTCCCCACCCCACAGCTGCACTGAGCCACTTAGCACTTAGCGGCTGGCCTGGTGTGTGGAAGGCGGGAGTGGGGGTGGGGGGGTGGGGCCGGAGGCTCCCGTGGGCTCTGTGGAAGCCTGGAAGACTTTCTAGACATCCTCATGTTTCTCTGGAGGCAAAATGCAACCCCCCCACCTCACACACACACCCCTCCCCCACAGGCAGGCGGGCTTCTGTTCCCACTGGACCGATCGGATGCCGAGGAGGAAAAGAGGGAGGACGCGGGCACCCAAGTCCCACCACCATGGCCAGCAGAGATGGGCAGTCCTGGAGGGCATCCCGGGGAGAGGGGGGCGGGTGTCGGCAGCATCCAGAAGGAAAAGCCTGGCATAAGCGTGCCGAGGAATCGGGATTTCACCCAGCGTTTGCGCAGAAGGCATGAGATACAGTCGCTTTCCTCAAAAAAAAAAAAAAATCAGCAGGACCGGGAGGTGGCCGTGGTCCCCGAGCCTAGCCGTGCTGTCCACTGGGCTGGGAGAGGGGTGGGAAAGGGTTCTAGGTCACCCGCGGGAGGGAGGGGCAAGGGAGGTCAGGGGAGGGAGGCCCACAGGTCACGGGGACTCTAGGAAGTCTCTTGGGGGTGGGGGGCGGCACCCAAGTCCTCGGCTCGGGGTCCTGCAGGTGGACAGGCCACTTCGCAGGGGGCTCCTCTGACTCTGGAAGCCAGAGTGGGGCTGGGAGGGAGAGTGCCCGGAAGCAGCCACCTCCCAAGCTGTGCCAGTCCTTCCTTTGATCCACATACAGCCCTCACCCATCCCTGCCCACCCCCCTGGGAAGCTCCCAGGAGACAGCGCCGGGAGAGAAGCAGGGTGCAGCGCCCCCTAGTGGCAGGGCATGTTCCTGCATCGCCCCCTACTCCCCACCCCACCCCACCCCACCCCTTAGGCCTCTGAGCCCTGCACCTCCCCTGCTCGTCCCTCCCGGACCACCAATGCCTTTCCCTCCTCCTTCCCGTCTTGGTGACGCCCCTTCTCAGCCACACCTTCCCCGAGCACCACACCCCTCCCCATGCCCCCAGCAGGCGCCCAGTTCAGGAAGCAGGGGGTCCTATGCGTGCGGCTTGGGGGAGGGGAGAGTGAGTGTGTGAGGGCGCTGGCCGGGGTCAGCGGGGCGGGGCGGACGCTGAGAAATTACTCACGGCCCGCTTGGGCTCTCGGGGGTCATTTCCTGCCGTAATGAAGCCTTTCCAAAGATAGCCGCCCCAATTAGGATGCCTGGCGCCCAGGCGCAGCTGGAGGGCACCCCACCCCCCCAAAGCCCCTTCAAACCCCCGCCCCCACCCCCTCCGTCCCTCTCAGGGCCCACACCCCCGCCCCCCCCCACTGCAGAGCCTCAGTCTCCCTGTCTGCAGGGGGGGGCTTGCCTTGTTCCTGGGAGTGGTGGTGGGTCACAGTGCAGGACAGCAAACAGGGCCCTGGAGTCCAGTTTCTCCCTCTCCGGTGGCCCCGGCTGACCGGGCCCGTGCCTGCAGGCGGGTGAGAGGCCCCCCCCCCACCCCAGGACGCCCGCCTGGCCCGCGCAGCCTCCATGCTCTCCTTCCCCACCCTTCCTCATCTGTGCCCACGTCTCCTCTGGGTGCTGTTCTGTGGGTCCCTGTGCTCACACCCTTCCCTGTAGCCCCCAAGCTGCAAGGCCTCCTTCCCGGGGACCCCTCCCAGTCTACCCAGGGCCACATGTCCTGGTGAGACCAGGCCAGGCCAGGTTGGTGACTGCAGCCTGGGGTCCCCTGACCTCAGTGCCCCCGGGGGACAGGTCCCTGACTGAAGGGACCCCTGGCTTCACTGTCCCCTGCACGGCTGGGCTAAGGGGGGGAACTGGTGGAGAGGGGTGAGCTGCAGAGGCAGCGAGTCTCCTGCAGGGGGCGCTGGAGGTGTCCGCAAAGAGGGTGCAAGCTCAGGGCAGGGGGGCGACTGGCCGGGGGTGGGGGGGGGTAATGGGTGTCAGAATGGGGCAGGGAGAGTAAGGGATGGCCAGTGTCCCCCTCCCCATGCACACCCCAGTCCCCTGGCACCCGGGGAGGCAGGAAGACTCTGAAATGCCCAGAGATGGGGCCCTGGGCTCCATCGTGCACCACAGCGGGGTTGGGACCCTTCAGAGTGAGGTGGAGGGGCCCCACGCCTGCCCCAGGGAGTGGGGACTTAGGGGGACGAACCCTCTGGTGACGGATGGAGTCCAACCCCAGAGAACCCTTTGCCAGGGCCTCCCCGTGCCCACCCTCCCCTGCTCTGCCAGCAAAAATCAAGGACACAGGCTAAAGGGGAACAGGGGCTGCCCCCAGCTGTGTCCAGGGGACCCTCACACAGCTAGACCTTGGCCTGTGGGGGCTCCCGGCCATGGAGCCCGGCCATGGAGCCCGACCTCCCTCTGCTCGCGTTAAAGCCAGCGTATCCATCCGCGCATCATTGGAGCCGACGTTCCTGGGACATTGCACTCCCGTCTCCCCTCCCCCTGGGAAATCCATGGGCGACCCCCCTGCCCCATGTCTGCTGAGGGGTCAGGCCCTGCGACTCTGCCAGGGCCGCACATTGCCCTCTAGTGGACAGAGCCTGCCTGCAGCCTCGCTCCCCAGAAAAGGAGATTTGCAGGGGGGTGGGGTGGAGTCTGATGTCTGGGGGGCTGGTCCTGTGCCAACTCGGGCACCGGGCAGGGGTCCTGGCGGCTCTGTCCTCCAGCTCCGCTCCGTGGCCCTGCCCTGCTCACTGTGGGCCCATGAAGAGGCAGCCCCAGTGGTTCAGGGTTTTGCATTGGTGTGTGTGTGTGTGTGTGTGTGTGTGTGTGCGCGCGCGCGCGCGCTCGCAGGCAGGTGGGGTTGGCTGACTGGGATGGAGTGTTTTTGATTTTGATTTTGTTTTCTTTAAAGATTAAAAAAGACTTAAAAAAAAAGACTTATAAAAGACTAATATCCACAGCCAGGCTAAACAAGGACAAGGACGACTGGTCAGTGGTTGGAATCAACCACAAGTGTGTGTGTGTGTGTGGGGGGGGGGATAGAGAAGGGACCAGTATGGCAATAATAGCTGGGAATGATCACGTGGGGCAAGAACTGAGTGCTAAAAGTAAGTAAAGGGATATACCTGATAAACTTTCAGCATCTGGATTGCACAATAGCAGAGAGAGACAGAGAGGGAGGGAGGGAAACAGGACTCCAGTGATGGGAACTGTGCACCAGTGGAGGGGATGGGTGTTGGAGCACTGTAGGACTGAAACCCAATCACGAACAGCTTTGTAAGGGTCTAGTTCACAGTGGGCTGGAGCGATAGCACAGCGGTAGGGTGTTTGCCTTGCACGCAGGTGGCCTGGCCGAGCAGGGTTCGATTCCTCCGCCCCTCTCGGAGAGCCCGGCAAGCTACTGAGAGTATCTCTCCCGCACGGCAAAGCCTGGCAAGCTCCCTGTGAGGTATGCGATATGCCAAACACAGTAACAACAAGTCTCAATGAAGACTTGCCCGACAACGGGAGGACAGTGCT